GAGCATAGAACATCTCTGATGAAACATATGAAAAAAGACTTAGCCATCCTTGCAGGACTTCCAAGCTGCTTTCTTTTCAATGTCCAAAAACGAAGACTCACTAGAATGTTATTTATGTGCAAACCAGGAAGGAAAAGCTGGCAAGTGAATAGATTGCACCAAAATACTGTATTTTTCCCTTGCTTAGACTTCCCAYAGTGCACAGAGGAGGTGGGTGATACTAAATTTTTGTGAATGTCTTACATGTAGCTGTGGATGACAATGTGTGAATCTGTGTTTACCCTGCTTGGAAACCACAGTCCTGTGAAACACASAGTGACAGGTCTCCTTTATGTGTGGCCCTGCACCAGCAATGGGGAGCACGAGAAAGCTTGGGAGAGAATCAACCCTCTCTCAAGGTCTCAGASAGGTCTCAGAGACAGAACTCAGTGGGAATATTTTCAACTCTTTCTTCTAAAAAGGACCATGGTACTTAGATAACAATCCTGTTTAAAACCCATATATATACTGCATATTAAAATTCCCTTGYAGAAGTCAAACACTACCTAATAATGCACAAAGAAACAAGTTCTTTTAAAGAAACAAGTAAGAAAGCAAAAGAGAGTCTTGCATGCCACAATATCTATCTCTAAAATCATGAAAAACAGGACTATTGGGAGCTGCTAACAGTTTCAGCTGCAACATTGAATAATCTAAGTAATCCTTTTTCTATTGAACCAAAAGGAAAAATGAAAAGACTTTCATTGAAATACAGTCATAAATTCCATCCATAAGACTTTTCCTGCAATTAAGTTACATTTGCTGATCCACTAGTCCCTTAAAAGGAGCATTAACACAAAGACTTCAATTATTCATGGTCAAACAAAGTTGATTCTATTGCTTCAGTCAAAGCGGCATTCTCTTTTACTGTGGTTATTTCTGTAGTATCTTCAAAAAGGGCACAGAGTCTGTGAAAACATGTAAGTTTTTGAGTAAAAGCTATTTCCATGATCAATCCTAACTTCTTACATTTAATACTCCTGCCATTTGCTCCTTTGAAGAGAATGACATTTCTGGGAGGTTTTGTCCCCTTCATACTTTAAAGGGTAAGCTGATTGAAATTCACCATTTTTTTGAACCTAGTTCCAATGTTCTGAGAAAAAACATTCGTTCTCTCTCTAAAAGAAAAACCAAGAAACAAAAACCACAGGTATTTACTGTTATGGAAAACTTTTCAGTGAGGAAAGAACCACAGGGAACTCCAAAAAATGAACTTTGTGGAAGAAAGTTTGTAGCTCTTGTGCTGTCAGCAGAGGGCTTAGAAGAGCTTCAGAGGGTCTCACATCTGTGAAGAGCTGTATCTACTTCTGCTGCTAAAAGTTTCTGCAGTACTCACCACTCACCCTTCCAGAGTGCCCAACTGCTGCCCATTTCCGCTCACGATGCCATCCCCAGAGAGTTGGCACCCTCTGCTCTGCCGCTGCTGCCCAGCTTCAGTCTGAAATACCCTAAGTGTATCTGCCTTAATTCAGCTGCGGAAGTATGCGTTTTAAAGGTCAAGAGTTCCCAATCAATCCTAGGAATTTAAGAAGGGGATAATATTGTCCAAAGACGCTAAGCAAAACTTGATCTTGTAGAGATACTTGTTTCATTTTCAAAGGTCAAGAATGAATACAGATTCTCGATATTCTTTGGTATAAGAAAATACCAGGGATACATTTCTTTGACTCAGTAAGAAGTATGGCATGTGATCTATTAAATGGAAAGCTAACAGGGAGAGAAATGCTTTCCTCAGTAGACCTTCCTAATAAGCACAACCCTGAAAGATGACAGGATGTTACAGAGTCAAACTGTTTGTGTATWAATCTGTTTTCATGTAAATGTGCTGCAGACTGACAATTGATTGAGACACATATACATAATAACATAAATACTTCTTCAGAAGGTAGTAATTTGTTTGTACAATGTCATGCTCTCTGAGTCATGTCTTTCAAAGACATGGGAGTTAATGAATGCCTACCAGGAGTAAAAGAATTCTGCATGACCATCTTGCAGATGTCAGAAGTTTAATAGACTTAAGTGTTCCTTTTTTTTTTTTTTTTTTTTTTTTTTTTTTTTTTTCTGGAATTAGGTATCATAAAAAAGTATAACTGAAAAAGAAAATAACAGCTAATGTATAAGAGGTAGGAAATTGTATCCCAAAGGTACTTACAGATACTAAGACAACTAACATTTGAATTTAAAGATGTTCCTCTTTTTAAAAGTTTCATTGTTGTTTTGTACAGAAAGTCCTCAACAGAGTAAAGACTATAAATTCAAAAGGCATATTGTTTCTTTGTCCAGAAAATATTTTAAAACTACAGTGTCAGTGATTTATGACCACAGGATTCAGCACTAAGTCTTAGAAGTTTAGGTCCTTATTAACAAATCAATTATGTTTTCAATTTTTTCGTCAAACAAGAGATTACCTTAATGCACTACAGCTTCTTGGCTTTGGACAAGGGACAGAAAGGTGAGAAAGCAATTACAGTGTTAATAAGGCCCCAAAATCCTAACCTGCTTTAAAGCATTGTCTTTCTTTCTTTCCTGTTCAACCCATGTATTTACGAAATTTATCACTTAAGTAACACCTACTTAAYGTACCAAGAAATGTAATAGTGGATAGACCTTTTTTTCTGGCTTTGCTGCCTCTGGTTTGAAAAAGAGGAACTGAGGACGATTACGTGGTTTGGGCACTTCAGTCACAAGTTGCTTACATGCTTGACTACCCGTAGAAATTTCTCTTTACTTCATTATTTTTGACTCACACATMATCGACACAAGGCCTGTGACAATAGGAGACTGCAAAGACCATGAAGAGTAATTTTGGAATAATTCATCTGACGACTATGTTTGTGAGAAAGAACATCAGTAAAAGTGCTGTACAGGTACTGCAACTGAGCCTCTTCATTACTTAAAGAGCAAAAAGCTTCATTAATTTTTGCTGTAGGGCATCTCACATTTGAATTGTTACATTTAAGTGACATTCTAGCTTTCTCATGAGAAGCTTAGAAGGTCTCCTCCTAGATAATTAATTATGGCCTTGGAGCCCAGTGAAGAATCACAGGAAAAATAGTCTTCAAGTAGAAAAAAAAAACATACCAAGGAGATTTACACAAGGACTACATGGATTACAAGAATTTACCAACAGCACTGCGAGTTATCAGTGTCTTCTAATAAATTACATTTAAAGATGGACCTTGTTAATAATTAAAATAAATCTAAAACCCACAACCCTTTGACAGAATAAGTCATTTTGTCACCTGAAGAACTGTTTAAATATCAGTAAAMTTTCCCCACAAAATCAGCCTAAATTTCTGTCAGCCCTCTTAGAAAATCAGGCTGCGTGGGAGACACAGAAATTTACAATGCAGTTATTCTCTAAGAGTAAAAATGTTTCTGTGTATTGCATTTCCATGGAAAAATTAAACAGAATTTTGCCTTTTGGATAGTACAAASCAAATTAATGTCACTATCTGATATCAGTATGTTTAGGAATAACACCACAGAGCAATTTAAGTYGGACAGGAATTCTGAAAATCAGTCATCTAGCCCATCTCAAAGTCAGGTCCAATTATACCAGTTTGCTCAGGAGTTTGTGGAATTCTGAACATCTCCAAGGATGAAGATTCYACCACCTGTCCAGGCAACCTGTTCCAGTATTTGACCATCCTTACAGTAAAAGCATTTTTCATAATAGCTAATTGAATTTTCTAGTGCTCCATCTGGTGTCCATTGTCTCTTAGCGCTATTGCTGTGCACCCCTGAGAGGAGTACGGCTCTGTTGCCTCTGTACCATCCCATTTTGGAGATTACAAGTTCCTCCTCAAAGTCCTCTAATATTAAGGCTGTGGAAGTCCAGCTCTTTCCATCTCCCCTTCTACATCAGGTGCTTCAGCCCCTGAGCATCTCGGTGCATCTCTGCTGGGCTCACTGCAATATGRCAATGGCTTTTGTGAACAGATTTGACCTCCCATGCGCCAGACAGAAGGGAAGGATCATTTCCGTGCATATGCTGGCTATCCTATTGGCAATAACCACCMAGGATGTGGCTGGCTGGCACATTACTGACTCATATTCCATTTGCTATCCACTGGGACCTTAGGCCGTTTCTGTCAAGCTGCTTTGCAGCAGCATTGGCATATGGGGTTATTCCATCCTGGATGTGGGACTGCTGTTGCTTTTATTGAACTTCATATGGTTCTTGTTGACTCAATTTCCAGCCTGCTGAGATCCTCTGAGACCTTTCCCTCCAGTGTATAGACTACTCCCTCAAATTTGGTATTGCCTATGAACCTGACAAGGAATGACACTATTCCAGCTGGACACTAAAATGTTCATCGTGTTTTGTTGAGGTGGGTGTGTAGCCCACTTTACAGTCTGAATCTCACCAATTTGTCTATAAAGATACMATAGGAGAAAAAATTGAAAATACTTAAAATTTCAACTAGTATCTTGCCTAAAATAGCTCACAGTCCTTCTAGATAGTACAATTTATTAATTATTCATTGATATCAGACAAACAGGACAGTCTGGGAAGTTCAATTAGGGACTGAATCATATAAAGTGTCTATTACAAACCACAAAAATAGTATCTGCATATGGGAGCTGTTCCATAGGAAATAAAAGTTAAGGGTTCTATTAATATAAAAATATAAGTTAGATAAAACCTAGAGTTCATGAAACCAGTTATTTAGAAATGACTGTACAGATAGGTTTGTGAGCCCAAAAGTTAGTGTGATCTTTTCCCCAGTGAACAGCAGTTAATCTAATAAAATTTATTACCTCTGTCTACACACTTGGCCTCCCTCACTCACAGAATGATAATTTTAAACCTGTCACGTGCAAAATTGCCAGCATTTTTACCTTGCTCTCTCAGAACTAGAAAAGCAAAAAAGCAAAGAAACTGAAGCTTTCCTGGAGCAGAGGAAGTAGTACTGTGCTTCAAACTGTTGTTTAGAAAATGAAGAAGAGAGTAACTGTGAATTGTAGCCTGATATAGCTCAGTATTATATAGTAAATAATTACTGTTCATATCCTGGTAGGAAAAAATAATCAGTTCAAGAGATATTGTCAAGGGAAAAGGAGCTTGGAAAAAGGTGCTAAGAAGAAGGAGCTTTCTCTAAAATAAAATCTGAGATTTATTTTCAGYATGCAGTACTTAAAACTTCTGTATTTATGTTACACATAGAAACATACCACACTGTGCTTTGATATATTAGAGAACTTTTGTATAGTCAGAATAGATGATGGAGTGGAGAAAAGAAGTAGAATGTGTTCTTGGAAGATGGGGTTTATTTTCATACAATTAAATATGGCAAATTACCCATTTTCCCATTATATGCTACAGTCCTCACCCATCATGGTTCTATTTTTATTACTACATTGATGCAACTGCACTACTATCTAGCCATTAAGAATCAGTGCTGAAAATTAAGATGTATTTTATTGCTTCTTTGAAGTATTTTCAATGCCTATTTGGTTATACAAATGATACCAAGTGATAAACTACAAATCCAGGCCAATAAAAAAATTCTTTTGCAGATGACATGAATTTCCTTCATAGAAAGTAGGATACAGTTTGATACTAACTTATGTATATTTTAAAAATTTCCTTAAGTCAGCATAGTTGCAAGGAATGTGGCACGAAACACAGGGTCCAGGAAAAACAATATAAAAAAGCTAAAAYGTGCATTAATTTGAACACTCTGGATAAAACATCCTTTAACTGCCCAGATTGTAATGTGTACAACACACTAGTGTTTATTCATATTTTAGAACTCAAATATAGTTGGTAAAATAACTGCATGCATTGTKTCCACCCATTTTATTCGCATGACASATCTAGAAATTATTTTACGAAGCATGAGATTATTTGACAGTTACAAAAGAACAGTTGAAACAATTAAAACAATTGTTTGCTTTTATAGTAAAATGGGCATCATTACGGTGAAAACAATCTTCTTTGATGAAAATCTTCCCAAAGGACTATTTTGAATAATTTTGGAAAAATGCTATGGTGATGTTTTCTTCTGCAGTTTCTTGTACCATACAGGTGCCTCTTTATTTGTCTGTAAAAGAAAGGACATTTAATTGAGAGACAGTGAACACCAGAAGAAAAACATGCAGTCTACACATGTCCTTCCTTCCCATGTAGTTCACAGTGATAACTGAGTTATTTGCTTAAATGCAAATATTAAAATGAAAACTATGCATTTAAAGTTACTTTTACAACATGCCAGTATTAAAATCTCCCTATCTACAGGTTATAAAAAGCCAATTACACAGTAAAAACAAAATTATTAAAAAAAAAAAAATCTGTCACAATAGAAACATGCATCAACTGTGCCATAAATAGGATWGATTTGAAGTATCATCTGACTTTGCCAGCTGAGAAAGGAATGGATCTTAGAAAAGAGATATTAGGTGTGCCAAAATTGATCAACACTTTATGCAGAAATATAGTTCTTAAAAAATTATAATTGAAAATAGAAATTCAGTAATTTGAAAAAGAATTCAGTAGTTTTCTGACATTGTAGAAGGTATTTGAATTGCAGAGAAATACCTGTGAGCAACTTTTTCTTGCCTTCATAATCCTATGGGTTACTGCTACACAGTTAGGATTGCTCATTCTTCTGGCAAATTCAGTGGTRGTTTTTATGAAATAAAATAGTTTAAGTTTTAATGGAAATAAAACAAATCAAGTGGATGTGGAACAAGGTAAGGACTGTTCTGCTTCCAGGGTTGGCTATAATCTCTCATTTTAGTGAGGACTTTCTCATTAGTCTCTTGTCCCAAAACTTKTTCCTTTCAAGTTCTGTTTTCCGTCTGCTCTCTATTCATTCTTTCCTCCAAGAAACTTAATAAGCATTCAATTAAAAATTATACTTTATTCATTTTAAAGGCTTCAGTTACAAAAATAAATCTGCTCTATTCGAACAAGCTTTTAAAATTCTAGAATTGACTTAAACTGGCAGTATTTTCACATGACTACTGATTTCTTTTCSTGTCTAAGAAGAAAACTTGTGCCATCTGCCCATTTTCAGTTGCCTGCTCCAAAGTCTGCAAAGAYTAGAATTTTTCACAGAGAAATTAGTTACAATATTTCTAAATGTAAATGTAAATGCAGTTTTTCTGGATTCCTACACTGTTTCTATATCCCTAAGTAGAACAGGACAGATTACCCACTGAAACCCTGGATCATCTACACAAACTGTTTGTTTRTGTTTTGGATCACTGAACAGCTCCATCAAAGACGAAGTTTGGGCAGCATGATTTAGCACTACMAAAAGGACTATGGATCAGACAGCACTGGATAAGCCTGTGTTTAATCTAATAATGCTATTCAAGCAAATTTTGAACCCCTAAAAAACTTCAAGTGTCCTCAMATCATGTCCCAGAGATGCTGTAATTTCCTCCTTTTTTGTTACAAACCCAGTATCTGGTGTGCTGCAATAGAACACCTACAGTGTTTAAGACACTGTATGCTAAAGTCTCCACCAGGAAAAAAAAAGAAGACAAAAGAAAAGACTTCTCTTTGGACMAAATCAGCATATATGCCATGTAGTCTGCATACACCCAGTCTACCCCAGAGAAAGAAGCATCATGAAGAAGTAAGAGTCATGATTTGTTTTGTGATTCAGCATTGCAACTTGGCTGTCTTGACTCTATCAGTTCAGACAGTCAAAGTCAGAAATTTCTAAACCATTTTCATGAAGCATTCCAATACCAGAAGCATTACGTTGAAGTGGGCCACTTCAAATACTAAAATCCAAGCTTTTACTTTTTGAAGGAGGAAAACAGGATTTTATGAAATCAGGCATCCTTAGCAACAGAAGCGATATAAATGCTGGTGTTCTATTTTTTATATATAGTTAGATACATATGCATATACACATTACCATACATGAACATAAGTATAACRAAATACACCTATTTCTTCACTCCTGCTTCTCAATATAGATATGCACAAACTCCACTTATACCCAATCAGGGCAGATTTAAATTAATATACATGGTCTGTGAATCCCTGCAATTACTAAAATGTTGCCAACCACTCTTAGTATTGTAATACAACAGTGGCATTTTTAAAAAAAAACAAACCTTGTATGCTGTGAACTTAAGATGTAGAAAGTAACCAAATAGCTAGAAAACATAATTAATTTTTATCCTCAACATTGGCTGTTTCCATAAAGAACTGCAAGTATTTACCTGAATTAATTATACATCTCTTTAGAGGATGAATCCTTTTTTTTTTTTTTTTCTTTTTAAAAAGTGAGGAGAACCATCAGAAGTTTTGGCACTTATTTTAACCATAGTACTTACAAATAATGTTGGCTTAGGTGTAAATACATTTTCTTCTTCAGGTTCTGGCAGCAGTTTCACCAAAGAGTTTGATTTTTTTCCAACTGCACTTTTCACATCAATATGAGACTGAGGTAGATTTTGTTCATTGCGTTTACCATGTAGATTAATTATAATCTGCTTCATTGTGGCTAGTTCCTATAAAACCACAAAAGAACAATGCTAAGTTATTCAGTTAAATACATTTGAACCTATTAAATATTTATTTGTTAATAATAAATTTATATTCACCAAATGYGGATCAGCAAATCTAAAAAAGAAGAACATATCCTTGCTATAATTAATAAGATTACAACTTGGACCCTAGCAAAGTAAGAAAATAAAATAGGCACAGAGGATTTATACAACTCAAATTTTGTCTTGCTTAAAGGCTGCAAAAGAGAACATTTATTGTGCAGTAAGAAACACACTATCTCTTATAAGTTAGACTTCCATTTCATTTAAAAGATTTTTTTTGCATCTATTTTGTCAGGCTGAGGGAGTTTACAAATCTAATTTGAACGACTGTGGCAACTTGTACTCTTGAACACTAGGTCTTGCACAGAAATTTTACAAATACATTACTAGAAATATATGTCTTATATCCAGATTAGAAAACAAAAACTCAATGAAAAACYTTTAGAGGATGTATCACAAAAAGAGGATCAGAATGGAAAAGAAGTTCTCTGAAAAATGAAAGTTCCAGTCAGGATAAAGGAATGAGAACATATAGAAATGCAGCCTTTTTTTTTTTTTTGATATCATAATAATTTGCTTTGAAATTATTGAAGTTGAATTCAAAAAGTAATCTTTCCTTAATACTTAGCTGAACAAAACAGATTATTCAAAATGTACAGTAGAGCAAGAAAGGAAAAAACAGCATTTTCTGACTTTAACTGGACATCTTCTGTCACCTGTCACTACACCTACTGCCTAACATTCCCCCTCCACCCCATGWAATGGGTATGATTACTATAAAATAAGTTACAGAATTGAAAGCAGTAATAGTAATATTATAATCATGTTATTAGTACTATTATTTAGCACATTCATTATTGCAGAATTAGAACAGCAAGATCAGTAGAAAAGCCTTTCAATGTAAATTTTAAGACCATTTTAATTTTTTTCAACTATTAATGTTTTTGTTTGCTTGCTTCTTACAAATGGTGTTGTCGTCAATAAGCAACATAACTGTAGTAGCCTTATATACAATTAACATTCTGTCTTACCTCTGAACCAGAAAAGGGTAATTCATGTTTATAGCTGAATGACAAATATTTGTTATATCATACCTATTTAATACTTGCCAGAAAATTACATTGATGCACATTCTATTTTCACTGAATTATTAGTAATGAGTTAAAAAAAAAAACTCAGCATTTTAAAATACTCCAGCCATAAACCTTCTCTCTGTCCACTGCTGCCTTTAATACAAGATACAAAGTCAAAAGAAACATGTTGTAGCCTTTAAATTGTCACACTGTTACATGAATGGAAGTTACACTCCACAGATCAGCTTTATGGAGTGTACAAATTGTTCTTGTATCTCAGTCATTTAATATTAACTATTTGCATAATTCAGCCATGTGTGGTGGCATGTTGAAACAGCATGACTGCAGAGCAGCTGTTTAAAAGGACTGCATAGCTGATGCCAACATGTTTTTCAAAGTTGTAAACTCTGCAAAGATGTTGCCAAAGCAACACATAGACAGAATTTCTAGATGAAAATAACTCAAGCAAGTATACAGCAAATAAATACACCATCAYGGGAGATTAAATTGTACATAAACAATGTTTTGACATTAGCAAATGGTGTTCCTATACTTAAACTGTGCTATTCTGTGGACCAAATAGCTGCACGTTTGAACAAGGCAAAACCCAAAAACTGTCACACAGATTTATTTCAGAAAGAGAGTTGAAACTTGTATGTGTAGGGTCAAATTCTCTTGTTGGCAGTTTTAAAGTCTTCTCTACTTTACAGAATCTGTCCTGTACTTGACAGCACTGTCTGTTTTCAGACTTGGAATAGGCTCTGGAGAGTCAGCTCTCATACAAGCTTCCCTTGTGACAGGAGGGTTCTCTAATGTGAAGCTATAGGAAGGAATGACAGGGAGTGGGGAGGAAAAATTAGCCCACAACGAAGACATCACAGCCAAATTTATCATGAGGATTTAGCTAAGGTTGCCTTAATATTTGCTCTAAACTCCCTCCACATTTAGCAAGAAAGACCGTAAGAACCTTGGCAAAATAAATAGCACAAGAAACACTGAATCCAATAGAATTACTGGTATGTGTACTGCTAAACGAGGAAAGAAAATGGGCCCAACATATTTGCAAGAGATTTGCTGTTTTCAACAAAGAAAATACTGAAAACAAAGTTCTGTCGTCAACTGAAATAATTTTAACCATCTCTTTAAATTTCTCTGCTACGGAACATGTTCTTAATTCTTACCTTCCCTTTTAAGTTCCAAACAGTCATTAGCACTACCTGCTACTGCTGGCATGCTACCTTGATTCTATGAACATTATTTTCCAATCTTAAAATCCAGCAAGTTGRTTTAGAAAACTAGCAAGAAAAAAGCAACTCTGGACATTGTACTTAGCAGAAATACGTGAACTTGTTCCAGTGGGAACAAGACCTTATGAAAAAGGGGAAAGTAGCTAGAGCGTTCAAAGGAGATGAGAAGAATCTTTTGTCTAGAAGGACGTGTACTAATTTCAGGATAAGCTAAGTAATGGAAGATGTTAAGAGAAATGGATGATTAAAAATTTTGCATTTTTTTCTGCCTCAATGTTTCTATGTGCAGGCGGAGCTGTGCAAGTTGTTTACTGACAATATTCTTTCAGTTAGTGCCCGTTGCTAAAGCTCTGTATTTCCCAATTTCTCTGTGGAAGTATTTGATCTTTGCCATGCTGGCTCTGGGACATACAAGCAATGCTATGCAAGCTGTGTGTCACTGTGTTGAAGCTTCCAGGTCTGAGGACTTTGGCTTTGGAGAGCCAGACAGCAATCCTTCYTGGGAGGATTATGAGTACCAACACCTCTGAGTGGATTCACCCAGCTCCTCCCTGGGCTGGCTTTACACCTTTGGTCTCACTGTCACAAGCCATGGGAACACAAGCACCCACTCACCGCTTACGCAACATTCTGTGGGGACGYGGCAGTGGGGATACATGGAAAACAATGCAGGTGGCAAAAAAAGGTGGGTTAAGATGACACAAGGGAAAAATTAACCTGTGCAGCTGTCACAAAAACAGTGCTTATGTACAATTAGTATTGCCCATACAAACAAGTATCAGGACTGTATTATTAAATATTTTGAAAGGCTGTCCACAGCAACCTAATGAATTTTTGTTAATGATGCTGTTCTGTGCACCAGCACAAATCCTGAAAATCAAGGCTATGTGACACATTAAGTGGGATTTCATTTGAGCTTAAAAACATAAATGGATGTATCTAAACACAACTATGCAGCCATGAGCTAGGAATCTAATTTTCCTTTATGAACAACGTAGCTTGGAAAATGACTGCATTCGGAAGTGGGACACTATTGGCATTGTAACATGAGCCGTGCTGATTAGGCTGCTGTTAACTATAAAGCACAGAAAGATACATCACCACAGACAYCTCCATTTTGATACTTAAATTTAGTTGTGATAAACTGAATCCATTTCTCACCTTACTCTCCTTATCGTTTACTTCTCCCAGGCTCCTACTTTGCGTRAAACAACCTGCATCCTGAATAGCCAATGTGCAATCATAATTCCCCTTGCACACATATCTGAAGTATCAAATTACTGTCTTAAAAAAAACCTGTGTGTTTAGAACAAGCTTTCAACCACAGATTATCTACTAGCAAGCTTTCCAAAACATACAGAGATTCATACTTTAGACCAATCTAACATCCTGCATTTCACTTACTTATACATATTAATTCACATTTAGTAAAGATTACTTGAGCTATAAAAGAATAATTTAAAATTCTGCATACATAACCAGAAAGGAGTTGGAACTCAAAGTAAGTGATTAAAATGAATGGACTGAGAACACAGGGAGTTATGTAGCAGGAGGTGAAGTAAGGTAGCATGTATTGCATTGTAAATAGTGTCAGAAGAAACTACTTGCTTATTTCCTTTTATTTTTGGTAAGTTATGTCCAACAACCYGAGTTAAAAATAGCAGAAGCAATTTGGTGTGTCAATACACAAGCAGAGAASGAGATACAAAGGTTGGACTCAATGATCTTAGAGGTCTTTTCTAAACTTAGTGATTCTATGACTCTTTATTTAGGTACAGACAAAGGATTGACAGCAGACTTTTCCATGGTGTCCATTAATTAAAATGTTTTCTGGTTTGGCATATTTCCCAAATTCTGTCTTGCTAATTCATTAGGCTAAATGCTAATTTAGCAGTGTTGGTATTGTGGAACTAACTGAAAATCATTAAGCCTTAAAATAGTGTTAAAAGAACCAAACCAAGGAAATGTAAGTAATTTTAAAAATGTAAAGTAAATTACCTGCTCATATTACTCATACTTCAGAAAATCCTGAGATTTTAAAATTATGTTTGAGCTTAAAGTAAAATGCTGTAGTTTCATTAAAACAGATTTTATCTATAATGGATAATTGAAATAATACCTAGAAAAATGGGAGACCGAAGATCAGTTTTGGAATACAAAGGATAAAATTTGATTCCTTCAACTAGCAATGCAACTAGAAGATAAGCAAATGCAACAATAAGGCATGCAGCCACAGAAAATATAGAAATATTTTGAGTTGTGAATACTATAAAGGGAACTCTATTAACATTGGTTTTGATGTCCTTGATACATGCTCAAATATACACRTACCAAAAGACCATCTTATGTTTTCCTAATTCAAAATTAACATAATATTAAGCATTAAACCCAAACCACGATTATACTGTCAAAGCAAAATGAAAAAGAGCTGTCTCATATGGGAAATGATTGAAGCATAAAGAAGTGCTCTTTTATCATGTAATTGATGAAGTATGTGAAAWAACTGCCTGCATTAAGCAACATAATCGAGTATAGTACCAAGATAGTAACTTTTTCAGTGAATTGTCAACAGTATAAATTCTTTTTGTTACTGTCTCTTGTCATGTAATTATAATCAAAGGAAGAAAAAATCCTGTGTGCA